CCTTTTGCGTCTCTCCATTTAAATGTCGTTGATTATAAAATTAAATATTAAAATGACTACTGGTCTTTTCTTATAAAATACAATATTTATATGGGTTAATACAATTATTGAAATAATGCCGATGATAGATAATATAATGGCGATTTGTTTTGCCTTTGAAATTAATTAGCTTCTTTTTTTTTAAATTTTGTTGTTTTAATCATTGACTTGTCAGAAATTATAAATTAACTAATAATGCATTGTGATGATTAGGAATAAGAATATTTCAAAGAATGAATAAAGGCTGTTTAAATCTAGCTACGACAAAAAAAAACAACAATTTTAATAATAAGTTTTATATAGAGGTAACATAATTTTTGTTTATTACTTTAATTTTATACTCTGTTATGTATGCAATTTTTCATATAATTATGTGTAAAAGTGCAAAACCGATTTAAGATTTACCAAACGATTAATCACTGTTCAATTGATATTGCTTGCGATTATTTTGTCTAACAAATTATACATTTATTCAATATATCAATCAGTTTATGATAATATTGTCATAATAACTAAGAAATCTATGCAAATAATACAAAATTATAATAATTATAATAAACGGAAAATCATTGACTGAATTTAATGGTAAGAAATGGAATATAATTATAGCAATCACTTAACCTCCGGATATTTAAAAAATATTGTTATCAGTTCAAATATATATAAAATAAACCATTGCAATTTTTGAAAAGAAAGAAAAGTATTACAAATGTACGAAAATATAATAAAAATAATTGTAATCGCATTGAGCAAAATAGCCAAAGTAATAACAAAGCATCTGCAATAAAGTTGAAAAAAATCAAGATAATATATTTTATTATTTAAACTGTACAACTTATGATAACAATAAGGTATATAAATACTAGAATAACAAATATTTCAAATATTTTTAATTAATTTATGTTTATAATCCAATTATAAATTACTGTCCAATATCACTATGTGCTGTATATCATTTATGTATTGTAAATTATAAGCAAATATTTTCTATTATGTAATGAGAAATACATGTTTTATATCGATGCATAAAATACAGTTTTTCCAATGAATGTGTGGCATTGCGTGTTTATGCTAAGAGGAAATGCTCGGGCTTTGAAAATCAGAATGTGGTTGCTCAGAATATCAATGAATTGGTTATTCTAGACTGAAAAATGGTTTGAAAATTCAAGGAAAATGTAAAAGAGAGAGAGAGAGAGAGAGAGAGAGAGAGTATAGGAGTAATGCGCGGATATAAAAAAATTCTCTAATGTCTACTATATATTTTCTTTTATTAAATTGATTTGGATTCATTATGCTTGTAATGTAAAATCATTAGCATAAAATACTTTTTTTTTTTTGTTGAAATATTATATGTTATTCTTAAAATTTTAGATTATAAGAATATTATAATAATATATTTAATATTATTATTATTTTTATTAAAACTAAAACTATTAATACGGATGAACTAGACTCGCTAGAATATATTAAAAGAAAACACAAGCTTAAAGAAACGAAAGTTTTAAAAAATTTTATAGATGATCGATTAAGTAGACTTTCAAGAACTCTCTGGTGATTTATATTATAATGTTCTCTTATCATTTTCTCGATTGGCCTTCATCATGTACAGATTGCGAATATGATTCGGGAATAAAATCAATGTTAATCTAGACAATTTACCCTAGAACGCAAAATATTAAATTCCTTCGTCCTAATTTCAACAAATTTTTTTCTTCAATAAGATAAATCTTATAAATTTAAGTATTCTTACGTTAGGTTAAAATTTGATCATTTTTTTCTATTGCAAAAATAACTTATGAAGTAATGTTTATTATTATTTGTTATAGTGGACAAAAAAATTAGAATGTCCATATTGTTATAAATTTTTTTTTAATATTTAATATACATATATATTTTATAAAAAAATTTTTCTTAAAAATATAGTCATTCTAAAATGTTCCCTAATTATCTAAATAATGGAAAAAAATTTTTAATTAATAAGAAATGTAAATAAATAAGTATGTTATTAACAAAATGTTGTATACTTTTATAAATAATATTAATTTAAGTTTATGGTTAATAATTTATATTCTTATTGTAAATTGTATGTCGAATATTCGTTGAAAGTTGAAAGTTGAAATGAATTTAAAAAGAATATGTGTAATTTTAATCAAAATAAAAACGTTTAAAAAATGTTTTGCTATATGAACTACAGCACACAATACAAAATCTTAATTTAATTCAAAGTAAAAAATCAACGATAGATTTTCTCTTTATAATCAATGTAATCAACCACAGCATCTGGAGTATTATTTAAGCCAACAGATTTATCTTTCAACATTTGAAATGGTAGCATTAGTTCTTAAGAGGGTATCATCTATCTTTAAAAGATTCATAAAGCTAAATTATCTATGGCACATTAGTAATACAAGATATAAATAAATATATATATGAAATTAAATAAACTACTTACAAAGCGACATTAATGACTAATATACACATATAACGCATACTTAAATACATTGACATAACTTAAATATTTTATAACAATCATGTAAGTAAGAAATTTATAGACATAATTTTCAGTAAATGAACACAAATGTTGGAATATATTAAAAAAAAATTTATGAGTGAATATTTCAAAATATTGTAATTTAATAGTCGAATAATGTTTTTTATAAAATGTATTCGATCTAAGAATACATTAGTGTTTAAACATAATTACAACTATTTCTACAGAATTTTGCATCACTAGTAAATATTATAACATCTCCATTTACATAATGAAAATTATGTTTCTATTAAATGTAGATACTTGGATGTACTCGTTAGAAAATTCATCAAACTTTTGAAATTAATGCGATCCTTCGATCCTATAATATATCCATTAATTTTCATAAGAATTCATTACAACAAAGTTAAATTTATTTGAAATGAATTTTAATATTTATTAACAGATTTAAAAATTTATTGCTTCGTTGACCATGACTTAATTTAAAATTTCAAAATGAAAATCACTTAGTTTATTTTGTTTAAAAAAAATGTATCTCATTTATTTGTTGTACATTAGAATTCTCAGATATTTGTATGACATTGATAGGACACATATTTTTTTAACGAGAAATATAATAATGATATTATAAAAATGTATATAATGAAAATTTTGTACCTTTAGATTGGTCAAAATAATATGAAAGTTGTTTAAAACTTTTTTACCGACTTTCATTTCCAATTCATCGTATCTATTAAACATTTTAATTATTATTTTGTCCTTGATTTATACAGCTCTTTTTGATAAATGTACTGCATTGATTTAACTGAATATCTGAAATACATAGAATTTTTTAAAATAAATATATATTCGTTATTTCTTAAATATAAATAACAGTTATAATGTTAAATAAGTTTTTTTTTTAATATTACAATGGGAAATAAACTTTGGCTTGCTTTTCATTATTACCTTTTCTACAATATGATACATAATATATTTTATTCCATTTAAATTTTGAATGCTTATGACAAAATTGTCCTACCGTCTCTTGATAATATATTTTGACAAGATTTTATACAGAATTTTTTTCCATTTTATGGAAACATTTTTTTATATAAGCATTTGTTCAGAACTAATGAAGATAAGGTATAACGAAGAGGTATTAATAATAAAAATTGATGACAATATAAAAATTTATGAAAATATAAATTTTATATTTTTACTAACATTAGAAAAGAAACTTTGACTATGAGAAATTTGACTATAAATAATATACGATAATTTATAAAAGGTTACACATGTTTGTATGTTTGTTTGTTTGTTTGTTTTTTCTTTTTCTAAGCAAACTATTAGAAATTCTAAGTAAAAATCAAATGAAAACTGTTGTAGTGCCAATATTGAATAAAAACTTTAAATTAAACTTTTTTAATATTTTATTTTCTAACATTATGGCAATGAAAATGAAAACAATCGATTATGGTTAATATAATTTAACAATAAAAATGCAATTAAATTACCGTGTGAAAGAACCGAATGATTAATTATTCCATTCGCTGACGAGACAATCTTACATGTTGATCTAACAATTCGAAAAAGAATTCTAGGCTATAAAAAGTAGAAGCTCGTTAATTTATTAATCCAAAATATTTTTTCAATTGATCGTATAAATGATATAAATGACATATACAAAAGATTACAACGAATCGCCAACATCAACTTAACAACGATAACCTGTAATTTTATTATCCAATTATTTAAGCCACAATTTATATAAGAATATTGTAAATCAGTCGAGCGTATTCCTCGATAAAGCCGATATTTATTAACTTTCATAGGACAATTTATAACCTTATTGGCAGTTAATTATTATTCAAATAATTGGGAAATTGAAGTAGTCGATAAGCCACAATGAAATTAGCCAAGGAAAGTAAAGTTTTCAAATTATTATAAAGTCATTAGTCACAACTACAACGACAACTGTTTGACGAACTTCAATTGAAATTGTTTTTGCATAAAAGGCGAAAAAACAATAAACTCGAATGTGAAGAAATAATAATCAAACGATTTATATAACTATTCTAATTATTTTTAATCATTGTTATTAGTGTTGTATTAGTGTTGTATTAGCGGTAGTAGTGGTAGTAGTGGTAGTAGTGGTAGTAGTGGTAGTAGTGGTAGTAGGGGTAGTAGTAGGTACAGCAGTAGCAGCAGTAATAGTAGTTGTTATTGTTATTAAATTTACCAGTTTGCCGGCTTGACCATTGCAGCAAGGCCCACGGATATAATGGATCTTTCAAACAAATGCAAACATTAACTATACGTATATAAGATGGCGCCATATTCCATATAACAATTATAATACTCTCGTAGGTAAAATACAGTAGTAATCTTCACGAAGACTACTGGAATCAACATCTCATCATTCATGTCACGACCGCGGCTACGACTCACAATACGCGATTGTAGAATGTTGAACGTAGACTGTAGTGTAATATAGGTAAAATAGCTTAGAGCATGCGAATTCTGAATATCGAGGAGTGATAGAAGAGAACGAGTGTATGGGATAACAACGTAAGATTTTAAACCGTTTCAATAGCTGGTCTGCTCACTTTTTTACGGGAGGTTATACTATTTTGTATATTAATGGAAAAGTGTAGCTAAATAACCTACGTAAATGAATAAGGAAATTAATTAATTAATACCTATCTATCTATCTGTCTATCTATATATCTATATATCTATATATATGCATACATAAATATATACATACATAAATATATATAGATATATAGATATATTATTTTTATACATATTATACATATTCTTATATAACCGTATATATGAATTCATGAACGCAAGTATATATTTATACGTGTATGTATGTATGCATGTAAGTACGTATAAAGATAATGGAAAACAATGTGGAGTCTGGCAAGAGCAGGTCTGCGGTGCCGATGAAACCAGAGAACGATGAGGAGAATCAGGAAAAAGATGGCAGAAGTAAAAGGTAAGGGTTTTGACTTTAAGCTTTATGCAATAAAGGAGTGGATGTGTTTTTTTCTTTTTATTATTATTACGCGAGGTTTGTAATAAGAAGTATTTTAATTTTGGCAATGGTACTATCACCTCCACCCGGCTTCTATTTAACTTGCACGACCTTTGTGGAAGTACGGTGATGAAATAAATGAACAAATTCACATTTATCCAACTTTCTGCAAAATTGCCAAATATTTTATAGTTGTATTACATCAGCGCTCTTCTTTCCTGTCCTATTCTATTTGTTCAATATTGATCATATGAACACGTCGTTTTAACGAGGATAACCTGCAATAGTTTAAAGTTAAAAATTATTTTAACTATATTTTGTTATTTTTATTATAAGTTAATTTAACTACTTAAAATATATTTTGTACGTATAGATTTAGTCGTTAATAGCAAGTATTATTAAATCTCTATTGATTAAAAGTTTTATCTATATATAAAATATATATTTGTAATATATCGATATATATATATATATATATATATATATATATTAATCAAGTACTAAATTACAAGAATTTAAAATACATGAAATTATACATTCAGTTATAATAACTATTATAATTGTTAATAAATTTAATAATATGCAAATAAAACTACGAATGAAAAAGTGCAGTTATATTATTATTATTATTATTATTATTATTATCATTATTATTTATACTTTTTTAATATAGAAATTTTCTTCTGATTACACGCTGAATTTTTCTCAATGAGTTATATTAATGTTCTATTTTAATATAACAAAATAATCGATAAATAATAACGATAATCAAATTGTTAAGATATTCTTTTTATATTTTTTTTTGTATGTGTGTGTGCGTGTTTCTTTTAAAATCTATCATTAGAGATTCACTATGCGCTTTAATTCTTAATATTTAAATTAGCTCCAAGAAGCATAACAGTAAGAAAAAGACTCAAAATGCTCAAAGTGCTCAAAATTCTGAAAATGCCGCTACAGCTGTGACGGAAAGTAGTGATAATTATGGCAAGATAAATCCAGTGGTATTCGTACCTACACAAGTGCCAAGCACTTACGCCAACTTTTCCGTTAAGGATATACAAATGGCTATGGACGTCTTGAAATTACAATGTAAATCTGCCAAAACGCCGGAGGAAGCCATGCAAAAACCTTATCAATTTTGGAGCACTCAGCCAGTACCAAAAATGGGTAAAACTCAATATGTATCTTATAGCATAAATAAAATAAGACGATTCAAGGTTGTAAATCGATATATATTAACCAAGTGCTAAATTATAGTTATAATTTTTATTTTTATAGATGAGAAAATTGTTTGTAACGAACCGATCGAGCCTGATAAAGTATCAGTGCGTGCGGATCCCTATTCCCTTCCAGCAGGCTTTCATTGGGATACGTTAAATGTGGATGATCCATTAGTACTCGCAGAATTATATACATTATTGTCAGAAAATTATGTCGAAGATGACGATGCTATGTTTAGGTTTGATTATCCTCCTGACTTTTTAAAATGGTAAAGTTCTCGATTTATTTATTAGTTTATTATATTAAATATCTCGTAAATTATTAGGAATTTAATATTTCTTTTTTTTTTTTTTTTTTTTACTAGGGCTCTACAGCCTCCCGGTGGGTGCAACGAATGGCACTGTGCAGTAAGAGTTACTAAAAGTAATCGTTTAGTATGTTTTATATCCGCTATTCCTGCAGCTGTAAGGGTTTATGATAAGTAAGTTTATCATGAAATGTGATTGTCATTTTAAAATATTATTGTCAAACAGAGTAAAAGTACTATGTTTCTTCTACTCTTTCAGGGTTCAAAAAATGGTAGAAATTAATTTCTTATGTGTTCACAAAAAGTTACGATCTAAACGTGTCGCTCCCGTATTGATTCATGAAATTACAAGAAGAGTAAATCTAATGGGAATATTTCAAGCAGTGTACACTGCTGGTATAGTGCTTCCTAAGCCCATTTCCACGTGCAGATACTGGCATCGTTCTTTAAATCCAAAGAAGCTAATTGAAATAAAATTTTCACACTTGTCACGAAACATGACAATGCAGAGGACTTTAAAATTTTACAAGTTGCCAGAAACTACAAAAGTCCCAGGCTTTAGGAAATTTGCATCGGACGATGTGGCCCAATGTCATAAACTTCTGAATAATGTACAGTTTTTATTGTTTTCCTTCTAAAGAATGTATTTTAATTATTATTTAACTAACGTTAGGGCATCAAGAATTGATCACCTAATTAAGAATGATACTTTTTCCTATTTTGAGGCAAATCCAAAATACTTGATCATACCCCACTTGTTTAAGTCTAATGTCATGTCCCAAACTGCATCTAAGTTCAGGTAATAGTTTTTACTTTCTGATTTATTTATTACAATTCATATGCCGTTTCTTTATTTTCCACTGTAACTTCAAATTCAACTCATCTTCACTTTGATCATTCGATTAACTTAACAATATTTAATGAAATATGATACATCCTCCACCCCCACCCCATTTAACATATAATTAGTTATATATATATATATATATATATATATATATATGTCATTTTATTTGCCCTATTTATACTCGAATATTGGTCTAATTCTTCTAGATAATATATTATAGGTAATAGTTTTTTACATTCTATTTATCTTTTATGATTTTATATGGTATTTCGTTATCAGCGAAATGAAAACTTTATAACTAGTCTTTATTTACCAAGTCATTATCAAGTCTAATAATATTGTCAAAACAAGAAAGAAAAAGAAAAATATAATGATAAAGATAAAGATAAATGTAGAGATTGATGTCTCGAAGCCTATTAAGTTTCATCAAATTATTAATAAAATGTTCGCTTTCTTTTTTTTTTTTTTATTTAGTACCTCAATAAATTTGACTTGGCGCCAATATTCACTCAAGAAGAATTTACGCATTGGTTCATGCCGCAAACTGGTATAGTGGATACTTTCGTTGTGGAAAATCCCGAAACTAAGCTCATTACGGATATGGTAAGCTACTACACTTTACCAAGTTCGGTAATGCACCACCAGATACATAAAACTCTACGTGCCGCGTATAGTTTCTACAATGTCTCTACAGAAACTCCTTGGTTGGATCTCATGCAGGATGCACTCATATCAGCTAGAAATGTAAGAAAATATTTTATACTTTTTAAGCGCTGTAAATAGTATAGAGGAAAATTGTTGCATTACAGAATTATCAAACATATTTGAAATATAAATTTTTTTAGTATATATGTTTAAGGCGTTTGAATTAAGAATATATATCATGTTATTTATAGATTCCAAATAATTTTATTTAAATATCTATATCTCAGAATTATAGAGATATTTAAGTATATGAACTTTAAACAGATTTCAATAATCATTTTGGAGAACAAATATAATTCATACAATATTACGAATATTAAAATTATTAAATAACATAAATACTGGTATTATTTATTGTTAGAATGAATTTGGTATAACTATTTTAGTAATTATGTATTCCTCTCTTATACTCAGTATGTGTAAGGCAATTTTTTTAAAATCTATTTCTTATCAAAATATTCCTAAATGTATTTCAATAATAACAAGACAATATTTTAGAATAAAAAAATCGCACATAACTATTTTATATAAATATTTAATTGATATAATTACTGATTTCTATCGATGATTATAGTTATCTTTACGCTCGTTATGAAAATTTGATCTTATCAATGATTATTTGTCTTAATTACATCAATGCTACTTAATCCTAATTATGTAATAAAGTAAAGAATGTTACTTTTCATGCATTTAGAATTTGGAACTACCAATAGTGTAATTATTAATCTATATATTTAAAAATTTGTATCATAATAAGAATATAATATTTGTAAAATAAAATTATATTCCACTACTTTAAATTTATATAAAATTCAAACTTATGAAATGACATTTTTTTATCAGATATATTTGAATAGATCTTAAATGAAAGTAAATTATTGTTTAGAAGAATGTAAAAATATTTTATAGCATATTTTCTTATATTTAAGATATAATTTAAGTTTAGAAATATGAATAAAAATGAGGGTTTAAAGTTAAAAAAATATATATTTTGACCTTAATTTTATCTAACAATGATAAAATATGTTTCCATAATAATGCAACGAAGTTAAACGAACAATTTGTATAAATATGATTAATCATATTAAATTCATATTAAAAATTATACATATTTTTTCATGTTTGAATTTCCTTAAGCGTGTTATATAATTTAATTTTAGCCGAGTAGTAATATTTATAATTAATTTCATTCGGAAACATTCGGAATTCCACTCATTATATTTTCATCGGACAGAATTTGAATTTAATGAAAAAGTAATGATATTAATAATCTAAAGATTTTAACTCATTTTTTTTTTTTTTTTATGGTAAATTAAATTTGAATTTCATGATAAAGATTACCGTTAATTAATAATTAATATCCAATTGGACAGTACAAATTTATGATAAAAATATCATTTTCTCAAATAACAATATTTAAATATAATGCATGAATATGGTCTGGTGAATTTCAATGTTAGTTTTTATTTATTTACAGTTGGGCTTCGACGTATTCAACGCGCTTGATCTTATGGATAACAAGGAATTTCTCGAGCCCCTTAAGTTCGGAATTGGTGATGGTAATCTACAGTACTATTTATATAATTGGCGATGTCCAAGCATAGCGTCAAATAAAATTGGTATTGTGCTGCAGTAAAACAAAAAAGAAGTAATAGAAACAAAATAATTCTTTAACGGATATTCTTAAATTCAACTTGTTGAAATATATGCAAAATGGAGATGTGTATGTATTTTTTTTAAGTGAATGAATCTAGCAGCATTAACAATCACAAATAATGACAGCTGTTGATGAGATTATATAAAGAAACAAATGAAACATAAGAAACAAATAATTGTTAATACTATTATTAAATCTACATTACTGCTGTTGCTGATACATCACTATTAAGGAGTTAATAATGCGATGAATTTTAATCTGGTGAAATACACAATAGAAAAAAAAATAGAAATGCAATACAAGAAAAAGACTTTCTTTTACAACCTGATATGCTTAGAAAATAAAGTTAAGATGTTTTCTTTTAATTAAAAAAATTTTAGTGAGAATTTCATTATTGACATTTTTTGCAATAAGAATTAAATTAATAATAAAGTTATTTTAAGCAGACAAGTCAGTATCAGTATGTCTATATATATATATATATATATATATATATATATATATATATATATATAATAAAAAAATAGTACTGAAAATAAAGTACCAAGCTTTACACATGCACCACAAACGAATAAGGTCTCGGATATTATTTATAGCTTATCCCATTTCGTGTAAATTAAGTTTAAAAATATTAAGTTGTATAGCTATTCCAAAGAGATAATTGATTTTTTCTTAATGAATAATGTTTATTAGAAATCTTAAAACCAATATTGCCCCAGTCTTAGATTTATTTGGATCATCGTACATGTGTAACGACGTTAAAACTATATTCTACATAATTTATTTCAAATAAACAAGACGGACTGTATTACTTATAAAATAATTATAATTTATGAAAATACTTATCTTTCTTTGACAAATGTTGGAAATATAATTAGTTATTGTTCAACATGAAAGTAATAGTTGTTTATTTTTCGAAAGATTTTCATGGAATTTGAGTATGCAGGTAAATACATGCGTGAGTACGTGTTTGCATGAATATGACGTAATAGAATAGTAATGTCCTTGAAAAAGTATTAGAATCAATGTCATTGTGGTTATGTATGTATGCATACATTCGTGCAGGTATGTATATATATTTTCACATCCATTGAAATATAGTAAAATAAGTGATAGTATTGGATGATCAGCCTACATTGGATACGAGAACACATGCATAGGTATATACGATTAAAAAAAAAATATTCGTTGTAAGTTATAAATAGCCCATCTGGTTGAATACAGTCTGTTGATTAAGTAAATTGAACCTTATAAAATAATTAAATTATTTAACATTAATTTTAATCATAGAAATATAAATTAAAATTAAAAATTTATTATTACTTTATCTTTATATGCTTCGTCAAGAGCTCTGAAATATATTTGTCAAAATTCCATTTATTTTATACATAAGTATTAATTTTATTCTGTTCCATCTTTTACAATTCTTTTTCAATTTCTTCAATATCGTAGATAATTTTAGAGTTATAAAAAGCATTGCAAATAAATTTTTATATACCGTAGATTACCATTTTATAAATTTATATAAATTATCAAAGTGTATTTGGCATACTTTTATAGTACTTATATCTCAAGTATTTGTAGATATTTTATAAGTTTTTACAAGTATGGTGAACAAATATTATTTCAACATTTATAATATTTTTAATTCTCGTACAGAAAAGGAAATTAAAAAAGTATTATTGCATTCCTTATGTGCTATAAGATTTTTTAACAATACTATATAGTATGATTGACATTAAAATGTCAAACATGCTCTAAGATTTTAATCAGTCATTAATGCATCATTAAAACAATAATTTTTGTTAATACATCCTATATAAAGTTTATTTATTATGCAGGTAGGTGTAATAAAACTATCTAGGAGACATAATTTTATAAAGAATCTAAAATGATTTAAAAGTGACACTCGTTCTTTTTTTCTTTTTTTTTATAATAGCTTTTTAGTTATCTATTTTTATCTTAAAGTTTACTTTTTATACTTTATTATTATATTATTTTTAGTAGGTAATTTATTCATCATAATTTTCTTCTGTATATTTGCAATCACTAATTCATCACTAAAATATTTCTGAAATGTCTTTTAAAATTAATTTTTTATTTATAGACACATATATTTATCAACAAACAAAATTATACACAAGAATGTAGAATATGTTTGCACATATTTCGATAATAATTAGAGGCGTCATGCACAAATTGCTAATCATTTCTTTAATATTTACAGTGCATTTATTCGGTTAATACGGCTATTCTACTTGATATAGTGCATCTGTATATCAGATTTTTATGCAAAATATTCTTTATAATCAAATTTCGATCTCGTCCCTATAATTCCCTAAAAATTCTAGGAGAACGTATATGCGTATGTCGTTTTCAAATTCCTGTAGTTTTCACTAGAATATCATCCGCATTTAAGTGGGAAACTACAGAGCATCTGACGTCAGGCTCATAACTTCAATGCATATCATACTTATATACATAATACCCAATTTTTCGGTGTTAAGTATTTTTGGATAAAGTCTTATATAATCGATCGCTTCTCATTTGTATTTGTTTTGTTTTGTTTTGTTTTGTTTTTTTTTTTAAAGAATTATCTTATTAAAATAAGATTTACTATCGTTTTATAAAAAACTATTTAATTAATTTTCAAAAGGAAGAAAAAAAAAGATCGATCGATTACTAATTGTAAATGTCTATTATAGCTGATACATTCGATAATAATTACTAAATTTAATTAATATGAACAATTAATAACAAATAAGTTATTTTAAGCATTTTATGAAAATATACATGTGTATTACTCTTTTATTAAATGAATTAGGATTAAATGAAAATAGCGATCCAACTTTCTTTAAGAATAACCATTACAGCGAACTTGGTTTTGGCTCTTTGATTGCAAAATTACATGTAACGAAGATTACTTTTTTCAAAGATTGTGAAATATAAGTAAGTCGTTAAAAAAAAAAAAAAATTATAAAATTTATTATAAAAATGTAAAAATTCGTTGCATAAAAAATATCAAATATGTTTAAATTATAATAATTTATTAACGAGTTAAGAATCAATGGAATTTAATAGGAAAAGCAGTATTAATTTTAAAATGAAAAGTTCATTATATATTGCATATAATTTGTGATTATTAAATATTATTAAATAAAAAATAGTAGTCTTTGAGAGGTATTTTTCAACAAAGTTAAAAATACAGTGGTTAGGAAAATTTGAATATACTTATAATTTGTTATAAATGTAATGTTATAAAAATAACATTTCTTCTCATTTATAAGCATTTAGAAAAATAGTTTCATCAATTTTCGTAAATTATTTGTCTGAAATATTAAGTAAGAAGGTAAGAATTTAAAATGTCTACAGATGTTGAGATACGAGATTACACGCAAGACATATTATGTTGATATATATATATATATATATATATATATCGTTAATTTAAGACGACGCTCATTCTATTTGTTAATATGGTAAAAATACAAACATATAAAAAAGAAGTTGTTACAATAAGAACGAAGTTTGAAAATCTATCGGCTTACTTGCCATCTCAGTCACAGCGTAACTTTCAAATCCAAGTGGCTGCCACTTTTCTTCTATCGATGCATATAACCTCGGCAAGTTACGAGCTTATCGATTTTTCCCAAACTCCTTTCTATTCCGAGCGCAGACAGTTTAAAAAGCAAATTATTTCCATGGATGATGCTTCATCGGGCCAATTACAAGGGCATAAACTTCATAATGCACTATCGAGCGAGTATTCTTGTCATAATACCCGAGAGGCGAGAAAAAATGTCGAAAGTCCCACGACGCTTCCACTTACACACAGTCGCGTATTGTCCTTTAAACGTAGCCACGTGCTTAGCATATTGAAATTGAGCGTAAAGGAGAAATGGACAATCGGAGGACAGTGCAGACGATAAACAGCACGTGTTCGATCGTCCTTGCACGATTTTCCGATGTGAAGACTGTGCAAAGCCTTTATGATTATGTGCCTCGGTGCATTTGAATAGCGAACCCGTGTTGATGGACCTTGACATCAGCCAAGTAACTTATCACCGGCACTCGTATGTGCTCACGTGAACAACAGCAGCGACGAGTACTTATGGGCTACGGTAGCGGTGGCCCTCGCTCCATCCAAACGCGATAATCATGGGATAATCATGGGTACTTCTTACATAGTGTGGCATTTGAAGCCCTCGATAATCAATACCTGAGTACCTTTGGAGCTTTAAAATTTTTTTTATCATCGTCGTGGCGCATCCTTCTTATCGCGCTTTGTTAAGACCTCGTTCGTCTTATTTTCAAATTAAAACCATTTCCTTGAAATTGATAATTCGGAGACTCGTTATATTATCATTGTGAATTAAATTATGTATTTGAATAGATTAATTGATGAATTTTTTTCTAGTCGTTTCGTCGCCTTTTATCATCGCTTATTCTTCAGCTATAGGATGTGATGAATTAATTGCATAAATTACAATACAAATTAGTAACAGTGTATACTGTTTACGCTACTATTACAATGACGCTAATCATATGTAAGATATGAAAGAGTATGTTCTGATGCTTCAATTTTAGATTGGCTGACAATTAGTTATATTTAATGGGCATTATAAAATTTAAAAATTTATTGTAAAAAATTATTTTAAAAATGACACATAAATCAATTGATATATAAAATTGCAGCGTTAATTTCATTTAAGATAAAAGTCCGATACGTAATAAAAACTGAGGCCACTTTCTTTCTTTTTTCTTCCTCTTTTATCTATATAAACATTGCAGTCTAATATACACTTTAATGCATAATCAACAATAAATATTCATAATTATAATAGCACATTTTACATCAATTCTTTAAAAATGAAATTGATTGAAATATACGCTTTTACTCTCTAAAGTTGATTGTAACTTAATTAATTCTTTGAAATTTAAGTTATAATTACAACTTTTGAAATATTCTTAGTTACAATAAATATATTTCCATTAGTTATATAAATAATTGCCCATTCCTTAAATATAAAATTATCAATATTTATGTATACGTGTTGAAATTTATTGAATTAGTGTACTTTATGCCATTTAATCTATTCCGCCATTAAAACTATTTTAATCTAACTAAATATAGTAATTGCTATAATGTTTTTTAATGCTAACTAGATAAAAATAATATTTTGTCTCAAATTTGGTTATCTAAAACGTTGTAAATTTATGCTAATTATTTAGTTGCGCAATTTATTACCTAATCCTTAAAGACTTGAATAAAAATTTATATTTTTTTTTAGTATATTGCGTTATTGATTTCGTAAAAACCGCAAGCTATTTCATCTTGGTACTTTAATGATTATATTTTCAACAATCATTGATTTCAACACAACAACATAAAATACTTGGCATATAATTCTATAAACAGTTTAAAGAAATATAAAATTTGTAATTATTATTTGCAATTTATGTTGTAAATAAATATACATAATATGGAGAATGTTGATAATAACAGCGATAATAATTAATTATAATGAGTAAATTTAATATATTTAAATGAATTTGCTATAAGAATTTATATTTTTCATCATTGGAACGAGTTAAAAATAATATTAAAAATATTAAAGCCTTAAATTATATGAAATTAAAAATATACTAACTAGTTGGTTGTTATTCATTAAAGCGATGCTTTTACTTCTTTAACAAATGAGTCCCTGAATCGATAAATGGGAGATTAAAATAGGAAGGTAGGAATTGATTAATTAATAGTGCATTAAATATTTATAATATCAATTTCGGTTATTTTTTTAATTGAAATTAAAAATAAATCTGATTTATCTACTTAAGGGGGAAATTTTTGGACACAATGTTTAATTATGTCTTAGTTTATAATGTGTAATAAAAAGATGAAGTTTGATTTTATAAATTTTTTTATATATTTATTCATTTTAACTGCGATACATTTATTTGATCGAAAGAAAGAAGAAGGAATAAAATGAAAATGGAAGAACGCGTTGTTTTACATGAAATAAATGTTATAATTAAGATAAGCTCTCGATTCTTATTAATATTTATACAAATATGAATATTTTAAGTAAAGTATTCATTTTGTTTGCTATTTGAGAAAAAAAAAAATTTTTTTCGAAACAATCGACACATTTTTTACTCTTGTACAGATTGTCAATAATACAAAAATAACCAAAACTTTCAGTATATTATGGAAATATATTACAAATAATTATTCCATTAACACCGACTAAAATATATGTAATATTGAAAATTATCTAATACCATTCCCAGTATTAGGAAAATAATTAAAAATAGCCAATGCTAATATCAATGGGATATTACTACTCTTTTTGATTAGCGTATATCCAAAATGTTTTTATCAGCAGATATTCGCGCTACTGACTAACTAAATCAAGTAAAGCTAGGATTTAAAGAGAAAATAGCAGAGAGAGAGAGAGAGAGCCGAAAAAACGAATTTGTTAATAAAAGGTGAAATGGCAGCATTAGGCAAGATAAGAAGGCGTTCCCTTTGCGTGGCCGTTGAAGGAATACAAACGAAATTAAGCAAAATAATGCACATGGCTCACGCGAGCCCCAAGTAAACACGCACACCGATCCCAAGGTGCGCTCGTGATAACGCTATGGCTTGCGTCTAACAATAAATAGACGTGTATTGCACAGGAGGGGTAAAAGCGGGCCCGGGGGTGGGGGAGAGAAGGAGCCGCGAGCTCTGGCAAATAAATGGGCTCGCGATCGCGGATAAATAATGCTGGATTCAGTTAGAGTCGCGACGCATTCTCCAGCTGCCCTACTCGTCCGGTATTGACGATTGATGATACACGATCTAATTAAGCCGTGGGGGCCATCGATGCAGCTCCAAACGTGCCGATGGCTTGTCTTCATCTGCATCTGCCTTAACCATTGGAGCGCTGCGTGTCTCTTCGGGTAAATATTGCGAGGGCTCCAAGCGAATGCGGCCACTACCTTGGCTTTTAGTTTCAAAATTCTATTGCAAACGCATTACATCAATTACCATCCTTTCCTTTCGAATGAACAGCCGTGCCAAAAAGTAACAAGATTCTTCATAATCGCGGCTCAACTATAACTATCCTTACTTTATGCCTAGCACGCGGCTATTTTATAAATCGCAAGCTCAATCCATTATACTAATCGCACAAAAGCCATTGTGTTTATTATATTGTTCTTATTGTCTTGCTTGCTATCTATTCACTTGTAATACAATCTTATCGCCCGAAATATCTTCCATATATATATATATATATATATATATATATATATATGTATATGATTTCATAAAAAAATCATTGATTTTTCAATTATTTTGTATGCCTTTCACTTTTTTTTTTATCGTATATTTAATTTCTCATTGGCAGACATTTTTCACTATTATTACACAATTTAATTAAAGCCTTATTGTGTATAATAATTTTTTTCCATTATATCAATCGTTTCTTACGAGTTGCCAAAATGAATTATTACAATACCGTTAGGCACATTGTTATGAAAACTATTTTTACCGATTTTGTTATTCAACTTTTCACAGCATAAATCATATTACATAGAATAATATACTATTTGCTCGTCTTATTGTCTATTTTAAGAATTAATTTTCATTAAAATGACTTTTCAATCATTTTTAAATGATACAAGCGTACAATCTACGTCGTATTGTATCTGTGACACATAATTCAATAAAATAAATTATAAAAATTTTTAAACAATTTCAATGTGAAAAAAAAAATAGAAAAATAGTTATTAGTTGTAAAATATAATTTAAAACTAATGTAATGTTGTCGTTTTAATTTTATATCTCTGTCGCTGATACTTATTTAATGTTCATAAATAGATTTAAGCCGCAAGCAAATTTAAATAGCAAATAATAAATTTGACTCTAATCAGATTTCAAATACAAAATCGCTTTCGTTAGTCATCTACATATATATGTTCTTACATTTAATCTTCGTTTAGAGTTAACAGTATTGACTCTGTGTCTGTGTGTGTGTGTGCGTGTGTGTTTATGTATGATCATTAAAATATTTAGAAAATTTATATCATTAAAAGAAATTTATCATTCAACAAATATTTCATTTTATTAAAATATATCTATTTACAACATTTCTAATTTTGTTTCGATTATATGTACAATATATATATAAATATGAATAATGTAAGATTGCAAAAAATGCTTAATTATTCATAGAGTAATTATGGTGATAATTTCAATATTTATTTTTCTTAACTGCTTTTTTTTTTTTGTTTTATTCTGATTATGAAATAAGAGTAAGTATTCAAAAAGTGATCAACAGGATGAATTAGAGGTACATTAAATAACCGCAAATGGGAGGATCCAAATCAAATAAGACTGGAGAGAGAGCGAAGCACAGAATTGTAGAGATCATTATGTAGTATTTAATATTTGTATCTGAGCACATTTTAAATACAAAATTACTTAAATATCTTACTCTTTGTTTTATGAACAATTCGTAATTATAAAGAGGTGTAATTACTTATTCTTATTAACAAAGGAAGAATATAATTATTTCAATTTGAAAATTTTCTGCATTTAACTCACTATGATGTAAAAATCATGTAAGATGTATTTTTAAATTTTTAAAAAGAATTCCTGTTTACTAAATATAAAATTGACTTCATTTAATAAGACTGAGTCTATAACTAATTAGATGTTTAATCGTAGAGGCCTATTTTTACAATAATGTAGTTTTTTCAAACAAATAAAAGTCAAAAGGAAATAAAATAATCGATCGCTCTTCTATTAAATATTCAAACTTCATTGTTTTACGAGCAGCTATTAATTATGTGTTCTTGAAATGTATTTTTTCTCCGTACATTTCGTATTATTAGTTTATTTATGGAAAATGAAAAATAATTTACCGTTCATCCTATATTATTGCGAGTTAGAGATCAATATTTGTTAAATGCAAAACACTTTATAATTATACGACTAATATCAGAATAAGACCATAAACTGTTGTATTATAAATGTAAGCCTATATAATTAAACATTAAATTAGTTATGTACTCAAATTATATTTTTTATAATTATATTATATTTGTATAAGGATATGATATCTAGAAGTTTCCTATAAGCTTTTTATTAAGAAAAAATTACTTAGAATAGTATTTCATTAGTAAATGTAATTCATTAAACATTATGATTTTGATATTTAAATTACGCCAACCGACGCCGTTTATTAATGAAAAATTGAAAATTCAATTTAACTTTATTACGTACATATTATAATAAATAATTTGTTAATAACGACAATATAATAATTGAAATGCAGCAATTAATATCTACATATTTATATTTAAAAGATAATAAGCAACTTTAAAATTTTTATAAAAAATTCTTACATTTAAAATATTATATCTTTCGTCTGATATTTCATAATGATATTTACCAAAGTAGATGAATTAAAAAACGATAAAATATGTTTTAGGAAAAATTTTTAGAATGTCAAAACAGTATTTCTCAGTAAGAATAATATAAATATATATGACTTTTTTTTATTTAATTCTTTAATTTTTACATTCAAAAAATATATTTATTGTTATACAAAATCAATAAATGTATATATGTATATATGTTTTGTTAATTAATCTTCATATGAAATAACTTCTTTCTGTGATAATTGAATATTACAATTACGAGAACAATTTTTTTGGTTTGTCTTATTCCGTTTATTTTATATTTTTTAAATCGTCTTTTCTAAAAAATTTTTTTAACTGTCGCACTAACATTTATTGACTCGCTTTTTGTCCGCATTTAATATTCTCGTTGTTAGATAGTTATATATAGTTCCTTGTTGAAATCATAAATATTATTACGCACATTATTTTGTCAAGTATATGATTTCGTTTGAATTTCGTAAAGAATAATTTTGATCGATTGTCGATTGATAGATAAAAATACAAATCTACTACGATTTTCACATAATAATAATTTAAGTCACGAGTTAAATAAATATTTTATTAATGCGAAAAGTTAAAATAATCAACAGTTTGTAAACTATTTACGATACTCATAATAGAAAGTCTATGTGTAATATAATCAGTATTTTATTCATATTTTAATCAATTTAAAGTAAAAAAAAACCAATAATATATATACATTTCACGTGCACTAAATAAATATATAATATACATATTTTGTACTAATTTTACGCTGTTGTTCTACATAAAAATAACGAAAATCGTATTATTATTATTATTATTATTATTATTATTATTATTATTATTATTATTATTATGTTAGAGAATGTAAAATGAATTATTTATTATATTAATGGTAAGATAATTTATTTTTACATAAATTTACAAATCACTTTCGAAATATAGTAATATTTATAATTTTTTTTATAATATTTTTTTTTTTACTACAACATAGTATTATTGATTAGAAAATTAAGAGAATAATATAGTAATGCTTTTTCATTAAATAAAAATATATTGAATTTTAAAGAATTAATTTTTATCATTTGTAATAATTTTTAAAATTCATGTTGTTTTTGGAATAGTTGATTTTTTTTTTTTGGATTTTCAACTTGAACGAGGCTTAATTGAAATATTTTTTTTTTCGTTTAAATTAAAAAAATTAACGCTCTTTCAGATTCGGATCATCTATTTTTAATTTATTATCTGATAATACAAACAAATTTCAAATATACTGGAATGTTCCTACATTTATGTGCCATAAATATGGTATGGATTTTGGAGAAGTTTCCAACAAGTTTGGTTTTATACAAAATGAGAATGACAAATTCAGGGGTGATAACATTGTAATTTTGTATGATCCTGGTAATTTCCCGGCTTTATTAAAAGATAATGAAGGTAATAAAATACATTATAATATAATTTAAATAGCAATCGTTTTAATTTAATCGGATAAACGTTGAAAATTTTAATAAATATAATAAGTATGTGATATTCACAATTGTTCCTTTTGATTACTGAAAAAATCAATCTGTCTGTGAATATTTTTTTTTTCCATAGAAAATGAAATTTTCAAATGCATCGCCTTTTATTTCGGCCTTTATTAATTGAACAATATTTGCACGACAATATTTAGATAATATCGTGTGGAGAAACGGAGGCCTCCCACAAGAGGGTAATCTCTCGTTGCATCTGCATTACTTTCGGCAGCATCTCGAGGAGCAGATCCCGAATCCTAATTTTTCAGGGATCGCTATCATTGATTTCGAGAGTTGGCGACCAATCTTTCGACAAAATTGGGCTTCTTTGCAGATTTACCGGGACTTGTCCATTGAAATCGAAGGCCAGCGCCATCCGTTTTGGACTTCACAAGCAATAACATTGGAGGCGACGCGTAGGTTTGAAAATTTTGGCAAACTCTTCATGAAGAAAACTTTGGAGATGGCCAAGAATCTAAGACCGGATATTATGCATATCCTTATTGTTTTAACTTAAAGCAGCCAAACGGGAACTGCGATCCGAAGGTCTTTGGAGATAATAACAGGCGAGTATTATTTAGTAGATGTTTATTTTTCCTTTTGAATGATCAATATCGGATGATAAAGACTTTAAACGCTATATACGATGATTGTGAAAAACGATGACAAAAATATTATTGAGCAAAATTTGAAATTAGGAATTTTCGTTGATTATTTATGCTTCGCCACTACGTTACATAAGAACCAATTTTAATGGCAGCAGTGGTTAACGTTTGAAATGCAAAAGTCATTCGAGTATGCGTGCAATAAATTACTTTGTGCATGAAGAATTATCAAAAGAAAAAGTAGAAGATCTGTTAGATCAAGTAAAAAGAAAAAATATTTCTTTATAAATAATATATTTTTATTATCTACGTTAATTAAATATGAATATTTTTTCATTAATTAATTTTTTAACGAGCATGTACAAAGAAGTTATAAATAGACATAATTTGTAAAAATTTTACATTATATTATATGGATTTTGTTATGGAAATAGAGAAATCAAATACTTCATGGCTAATGTAACGTTAATTTAACTCACTTAATTCGTCTAATATTTTTTATAATACTAACATTAAGAACACTTGAGAAGCTTCTGTTTAAACTGCAACGTCTTTTAAGATAAATCAAGCGATTGAAAGGAGACGGAATTAAATCATTCGATAAAGTCCTACACATATAAGTAGCAATGTCATGTAAGACGTACAAATGCAATTTGTACCGTAATTATTGCAAATAAACGACGAAAGGCTATAAAGCCTTAAAATTTTACACATTTAAAGTGCAAATACGAAGGTATAGAGAAATGAATTTAATTATAACAATTGTAAAGGGAACTTTTATTTCTAAATATATATATCAGGAAGAATTAACAAAAAATTTATTAATAAAATTCATTATTTCATTAGCAATATGAGCCAATAAACTTATTATTCAGAAAACTAACATGCGACTAAATTTTATGAAGAAATATAATTTGCTGTTTTATAAATAAAAATACCAAAATAGAAAGGTAAGCAAACAGAGGAGTAAGAAAAAACTTTTGTTTCACGTTATCTATTCGAAAATCTTATACATACATATATGGTTTAATCAATTACGTGTGAATACTTGCTAATAATCAATTTACAGTATTAAACAAATATCAATACATACAAATATTGAAAAATACGTAAAGATCTTTATATGTTCAATTGTATTTTAATATTAATTTTACGTTTCTGATAAAGAAAAAACACAATATTGACATTTATCACATTCTGTTTCGGTTAATATGTCCATAATTCAATAAATATGTAATGTACATTTTATTATAAAAGTTTAATGGTTAATTATTAACAAATTTTATCCACTTCTTAATTTAATCTAATTAAATTCAATATTGAATATTCCACGAATAACTAACTATTTCATTAATTCGATTAATGATAATTGTACATTATTAGTTTCTCGTTTATAGAAAATTATTTATGTTACTAGCTCATGTTCTATAATTTATTGTTTAAGAATCGAGAAAAAATATAAACTGGAAGTTGTGAATTGGTATTTTGGTACCTGCACATTACTACTTACTTTGAAATAAACATATGGAATGTATTAAATAAATACGAATTGCAATAAATAGCTATGAATATATTTTCAAAAAATTTAATCGATTAAAATAAAAATTTGCCTTTATTGCATTTATCGTTAATTACACGAAGATAAAATGGCAGTAGTATCTAATGGCAATATATATTTTAAAATAAACAAACATAATATGCGTTTTTTATTTTGAGAGAGAGAGAGAGAGAGAGAGAGAGAGAGAGAGAGACATATATTGAGATGGTGTTAGTTAATACGTAATAGTATTTGCTTAGAAAATGAGGACTTTTTTAAATTATAAAATTTACACACTTGCAGTGGTTTTCAAATGAAACGCAATGAAATAATTTTTTCATATACTATTCAGATAATATACATATAGCACTTATTGCCATCATCGAGGAGGCGAATGAAATAACTAAAATTTATGAATAAATATTTTTATAAATTTAAGTCAGCGAATAAAATAAGATATAAATATTTTTAACGTTCAATCACTAGATTATAAACATTTTAGAAAATTTTAATCATATGATGAAATTGATTTTTTCACATTATTCCAGAATGTCATGGCTCTTTGAGAATTCAAATATTCTTTTACCGTCCGTGTATCTGCCTCAACAGCTCACTCCCAGTGAAAGAGTGAATCTAGTCAGTGGCATAGTGCAAGAGGCCATTAGATTATCAAGAAGATTTCAAAAGCAGCAGAATATCAGAGTTCTTCCTTATTATTGGTACAAATATCAAGACCGAAAGAATATTTTTCTACAAAAGGTACTTTCCTATTGTTCGATCAAAAAATATTCGTAAACATTTGTCAAATTAAATACCGATAAACTTGAATTTATAATTTGAATACTCTCGATTTCACGCATTTGGGGTCTGATCATTCTAAATAATGATCAAACTATCTAATATAAATTAATTACATCCCTTTTTGTTAATTATTTAATAAAAACATAATAATTAACATGAAGCTAAAATAATTGTAATTCAATAAACTTCAAATTTCAATTATTCAAAGCATTTTGCAAATAAATATTTGAATGCGTGAATTTTATACATATTTAATTTAAATAAATTTTTCTTTTTCTAAATTATAATTTAGATGATCGATCATTTACATTAAATGGCATATACTTATAAGCTTATTGTATCTTTAATATTTATGTGTTTTCAGAGTGATATTGTCAACACGATACAGGAAATAGCAAAACATGGCAGCGACGGAATGATCATTTGGGGTAGCTCGAATGACCTTAATAACTTAAGTAAGTGTGAGAATTTTCAGGCTTATTTTCAACAAATTCTTGGTCCCGCCATTCTTCAAGCACAATATTTATATAAATCTTGAAGCTTAGAAATCAGTTGCTTCATAAATTAGTAAATTTTTTATACAGAAACTAAGCTTCTATTATTAATAGTTGCCAGTTCAATGGCTTCAAGGTATATCGTTATAATTTTAATCGGTTTTTTGATGTATAATAAGCAACTGCAGATATCGTAATGCTTCAGACAAAATATTATGAATGATAAGTGAAATATATTAGGTTGTAACAATCAAATTTTCAGCACATACTTTTAAAGTGTGGAAATGATTAATCTTAATAACGTAAACGTCAGCTTTCAACCATGTAAAAGGTATACCAACTTCTATGCTTATCTATATTTCCGCAGCGTCGATCGAGTAACTAAGAAATTGTTCAATCTATATGTACGTAAATACAGATCTAGGCAAGAATAATAGGCAATATAATAATAATAATAATTAAAAAAAGAAAAAAAAAAGATAATGGAGATAATTATATAACTAAGTATTGACAATGATAGGACAATATATAGATATATTATATTAGATATCTTAAATCGCTATAATTACTTGCCTGACTTGAATTAATTATAATATACTAATTCTAATTTACATATATTATATATTTTATTTTACTTTTAAAGAATGTCAAATGTATTTGACTGCGTGAACTTTGAATTCGATACTATAATATTATATGCTTATATTTCTGTAATTATATAAAACATAATTAAATAATGTAATTAAAATTTATTCAAAATAGTTGAATGAAATTCGTTACGTTGAAATGAAATGCGATTTTATGAATGTTCTTAAATTATTATTTTATCATGTACATTATAAATTAGTATTAAAATCGCTTATTTGTATTATAAAGTAGTAAAAGTTAATATGCGAATATTTTAAATTATTATTTTAACATTTAACTTAAATAACGGCATCTAATTTTCATATATTAAATAATTACATATTTATTATGATTATTATTTCTTAGGAATTTTGAAATATTATTGAATATATTAAAAATGTAGGCGTGATGTTAAAGGATCTCCGTTTCAACCAAAGAAAAACTTTTCTTACCATATATTACACTCTACCTAACATTAAAGGAGAATAAGTTAAAATATATTTTTTACAATAGTATGTTAATACAGAAATGATGAATGTATCTTTAATTGTAAATAGTAAGCGAATTATAATATCGATTAAAGATTTTATTAAATCATTGCTTAAATATTTTTCTATGATAATGCATACACTATATCGATGCAGAAATTTTATTTAATATATATATATATATATATATATTAAAATACCTGATGTAAAAGCTTAATATAATAAAACATCTATTCTGTAATAATGATTTTAATTATTAACAATCGTATAATCATATAATTAAAAATTAAAATTTTTAATTAGTTAAAACATGTAATTTTGGATCATAAAAAATTAGACATTATTATTTAAAACAGTTTTTTTTATGCATTGAATATAATACCTTTAATTAACTTTAATAGGTTTGCAGAATATGTGTAAAAAGTATAACATTGCATATGAAATATGCAGCATAGCCCCAAACAAATATAAGTATATATTGTTCAGAATGGAGAATTTTATTTGGTGAAGATATTTAAATTAAAGGTGACCGATTAACGTGGAATATCGTTATCATGTATTTATTAATAACAATAGTTTTCACGTATTTATGGGTAATTCAAGCCAATGTTTAAAATCGTTTAATTTATATATATAAAGTTAATTATTTATAAATATATAAAATTTATATTTTATTGTAAAAATTTATATTGTCAGATAGATACTTAGATTTAATTAGAGGACACAATTAATAATAAAAATATAACGTTAGCAATCGGATAGATAAATGGTATTACGGAAACATTGTTATTAATTTTTATAATGAAAGCTAGTTCTAGTATTGCATAGAGGCTCCATGAAAGAGAGCAATTAATGAAAAGATTTACTTGCAGGACTAAAGTTACATTGATCTTAGAAGTTATCAACGTCAAAATTATAATTGGATATAGATAAATAAATAAATTTCAAGACATAAAAATATAACTTTAAAAAAATAATTTCAGATATTAATTATATTAAGTATACACACGCACGCGCGCGCGCGCGCGCACACCCACACACACAAAAGATATTAGTAAATACTAAGAAACGATACATTAAATAAATTAACAACATAAAAATACTGTATCCGTATTATGTTCTAATATGTATACAATTTGATTAAAAATGTATACACAAAAAGCTTACTAAGCAGGAAAATGTTCAAGACGTTGCCGGATAAATTTTTATATCAATTTAATAATACTATTTATCGTAGCAATTTTTATTTAAGAAACTAGTTTTCTAATAAGTTGATATCCACGTCGACATCTATTTATTACATTTATTATAATTTCATAAAGAAAATAGAGCGTTGGAATGGAGTATTTATGAAACATTGAAGTATAAATATAAATATAAATGACACATATCTAGACTCTATGCTGTACAACCTATTACAAAGAAACATAATTCAATCAATTTGATACATATATTCATCGTAAAATCGATGGACGTTAAATGTTTGATACGCTCCATTATAAATATTTTTTATAGTTAAAATATATAATATTGAGTATTGAGTATTAGATTTTTTAATCCGTATAAAAATTTTTCTGAATTAATCATTAGTTGGATCGTGTGGTAGTAATAAATTTTGTAGGTTACAATTCAATTTATCTCAAAGCAACAGTACGTATTATTTATTTAAAAAAAAAATTTATACTTCTATGTCATAACATGGAACATAAGATGGTAAATAATGAATAGAAATTGGCACTTATCAAAGATAGAAGTATACCTTATCTTTGAAGTAACCAAACATTCTGCTTCGCTCAACATTCATAGCATTAAATTAAATTGCCTCATATTGAGATTAACAAAAAGAATTAGGGATATAATTTAAATATAGAATATATAAATATAAAAAAATCATTACGTGCCTTATAATATATATTAAATATCTTCATTTAATATCGTAATTATAAAGTGAGCTAATATAAACGTTTACTTACTTTATACGAGATATATTTAAAGGAATATTTTTATATACTATAGCATTACATTATATCGTATATTTAAATAATCCAATTAGAGCCGAAAATATAATATGAAAATTTATTAATCGACATATTTGAACAAAGATCACTTGATTTTGCTAATAATTCAAAGATAATAAAACATTTGTCGTAAAAATTATTATTGTCAATAATAGTTTAAGTAAAATAAAACTTCAGATAAAAAGTATTTAAAAAAATATTCCAGCAATTGCAAAAGTAATACTTCAATTAATACGTAATATTACAATAAGATTAATATTAATGTCCAAATGAACGTAATATGTTTTTAATGAACTTAATAAGCACAAATAAACATTATAATAATCGATGAATAATATATTAAAAGATCGATAAATTATGATATTTTGCATTATTACATTATTTCAGATAAATAACTACATAAATTAAGTTATTATCGATAATAAAATCTTTGAATTTGTATTAACGTATAATGTAGGTAAAATGAAATTCAATTACAAAAAGATTAAATATGATTTAAAAAATGAATATTGCAAATTAAACACTTATCCTTAGATAAAAATGCGCAACTTGTGATGAACGAAAACGATCTGATGAAGATAAAGAATAATATAAAGCATCGTAGACCATCGAGTGTGTCTCTTAATTTGTATGGCAATTAAGTAAAATAAGTTAGGAGACGATTGTATGGGTGATAGGTTCAGAATACGTTACGATGTAATTTATAAAAACATACTGAAACATTGAAGCAAAGTATCTTGAAATGAGAGATGTTGAAAGATTATTAAATGAATAATGCGGCTTATTTGATTTATGAAATCCGATTTACGAATAAACTTGAAGAGAACAAAAAAAAAAAAAAAAAAAAAAAAAAAAATTAAAATAAAAAAATAAAAATAAATAAATAAATAAATAAACATAAAAAGCCTTTGATTTTTAAGTTATCCCGAGATTAAGGCACGATGTAAGATATTTGCGAGTTGTTACTTTCCAACAGTTTTATATATTATTCTTGTGGAATATAATGGTCGGTAGAGAGATTGTTAATATACATAAATTCTCATAAAGATGCATTACAATAAAAGCAACGATTCCTCTTATTAAAGTTGTAAAGTCAGACAAAGTCGTTTTTATTTTAGTGTCATCATTTATCGTCAGATCCACAATCGTGATAACTTAATAATTATGACTCACCAGTGTCATCAAAACACGAAATTAATTCTCAGGCTCCAAATGAAATAATTTCTCATAAACAGTTGAAGAATTTGTCAAGACAAACCCTTTTTTTATCGAGATAACAATGGGCAGTTCAGATCTTGCAAAGTCTGTGATTATTTAGCAATTCGTTTAAATTCTATCCTTTCGTAGAAAACGAATCAGACTATAAGAGACAAAAACATGGAATTATTCAATTTAGTTTGATATATAAGAGGGTATTTGATTTCAGATCGCGGTTAAAATTATCGAACATAAATCTTAAAAAGTTTTAGTACGCTAATATTTGAAATTAATCTCAGCTGTGATAAATATTGCCTCCTGTTTTTACCAAATTTTATTACTATGATTGCTTGATTATAAATATAAATAAATCATTGTAGTAAATTAATTTGATATAGTATAAGGAGAAAAATGGTAAATAATGAATTTAATTTAATGAATTATTTACATTGTTATATAAGCCAAAGTTAATACATAAAATAATAAACTAATTCATTACTATAATGATAGTATTTCTTTTTATTCGTTTTTTTCTTCTTTTTTTTCTTTTAATGTCATATTCCTTTATAATACACGCATACATGCATTATTAAATTGATATTATATATATATATATATATATATATATATATAATTAATTTAAATCTATCAAGTTTCATGTGTAAGCTCACTTACATCTATTAATACATTATATATGCCAGTTATGTTTTATTCGCACCTACTAATGCACTTGCTGTCTACCACTGATTATTTTATATCGATTACCTTATTATATTAGATCTGAAAATTATAAGTTCGGTTTACAATTTATTGAAATGATAATTTTAACAAATAGATACATTGTCAAACTGCTGTTAATATTATTACAAATTATTATACTTATAAGACTGGTATTTAAAAAAATTAATCTAGTTTATTGTGAAAATCATTTCTGCCTCATCTACATTCTTTTGCTTAATTAAATATAAAATAAAGGATAAGAATTATTGTATCGTTACATTACATTATTACAGATTCAATACCACCGTACTATATATTACGTGCCACGCATAATTTTACCAATTTACTTATCTCACTACTTCACTCTATTACCAACAATGCATTTCATTCTCCTAATTATCCTTACACGTTCGATTATAATTTAATATTACAAACGCGGCAATAATCGTAGTAATAGTAATATCATTAAACATACGGTTTCTCTCTACTCACTAGTAAATCAACTCTGGTCACAATTAGAAAAATTTCCTTCTCTATGCGCTAACATTCGCGGAAAAGTAAAGCGAACAAGTACAGTCGCGTCTAGAAATATGCCGTTGTAATGGCGCAACGTTCATGAAGAAGACGATGATACGCCTTATGGTCAGAAGAATGAAAGACGACGACGAGTTTTACTGGTTAGAGGTGTAAAACCTTGGGCTCGTGTATGATCTCGCGTGTCTTTTTTACGAGACGCACCATTACGCGTTTGCTCGAAACGAGCAGCTAACGTCGCTACACATATGCACCATCCGCTATATTTTCTCTCTTTTCTTACGTGATCCGACTCCCTTACTTTGCGCTATAATTTATTGTGAAAAAAAAAACAAAAAACAAAAAACAAAAAAAAAACAAAAAAATATTATCTTCTGCCTCTTTGACAATTATCTGCCGCTCCGTAAAAGAGAAAATTATTTTTAATTTCTTACTGTTAATTCCACGTATTGTATGATCTTTTATACTTTAAACTTTCGCAATCCTTCATTACTAATAGGTATTTTAGCATATTTATTTGATGTATTGGCTTGAGTGGCTGGCTAATGCAATACCAATACAGAAAAATATTGTGGGCGAGCGAATCGGCACTCCGTCTTATAAAATTCATATCAATTTTTGGAAATGAAATTTTCTAATGGTTTATTTATGTTTTTCTTTCTTTTTCTTTTTTTTTCACGACATATACTCGTTAGGCTCGCATTTTAATTCTCGCGATGTTATATTGAGTTCTCATGGATATCATACACTCTTTTATGAATATAATAATAAAATTAATAATAATAATTAATGACAATGTTCTTTATATAGTATAATTTTTTTTTTTTTTATTTTTTTTTTTTTTTACTTTTTGTTTACCCATCCACATTATAACCAACTGTAACTATTTTCATTCGTTTTCGTATGACAAGAAGCTTTATTTAAGGCGAGCTTAATGCCACATTCATATATTAGCTATTTCATAAGATTATTATGATGCTGCACAGATGATAGTATTTTTATTTTATCACTCTATACGTATATAGTTTTGAGAAATAATAAATTTTATCGTTAAAATATTATAATATATATATATAAATTATTTTTACAAATTTTTATTCGTGATATTTAATAAAAATAAATAAATAAATAAATAAATAAATAAATAAATAAATATATACATAAATATAAAAGTAAAATAAAAGAAATGATTTTACCGTTAAAGATGTTAAAGACATTTAATTATAAATAATTGTACAATTAAAGTTTATTTGAACTGTTCGTTTAAGGAAAAACTATTCAAAAATGGTCTGTAATTAATGGTAATGCATTAATTTTTTTTTATATTTTTTTTTTTATTTTGTTTTTTAGATTTTAATTAATAGCTTCTCCTGATAAATGGCAATATATTCTTTAAATATATTTAAAAGGAGCGATAGCTACTAAAAGTAATGTAATAATTTTATTTAATTCAAAATTATTTATTTCTTCTCAGTTATAATGTCATTGACATTCTGTCTAATTGATGATACTCGCTGTAAATCAATAATGCTTCGAGCTTATCCACATTATCATATTTCACAATGTACTTAAATAAAAAAATTTTTTATTCCCATAACTTATAATTATAGCATTATTATGAATGGAATATAATACAATTATCTGAGTATTAATAATATAGTGCACTTATATTTTACAAGGTAACTACGAACGTGATTATTTTTATTCTTCAAATTATACAAATGCGTATACGTAATGTATATTCATGCAGAAATATTACTTATAACTTCTTATTTACGCGTTCATATAATTTACCTTTACTTTCTAAATGTTTCCAAGAAGTAAAAAGTTCCTTAAGAGTCAATACATTTGTTGAATTGTATGTAAATCACAAGGAAGATTTAGAATGTCGTTTGTTATACCGCTCTTTGTAAATACACGCGCGCATGTAGAGACAGAGAGATAGACAAACAGGCATAGAGTGCATTAATGTTAAAGTATCATGACGAATTCGTATAAGAAAGCATTTTTCAAGTTTGTTAAGCGAAGCGTTCGGCTTATTAGCCTATCGGAAATTATTTATTTAATCTACGCTAAGGCTATAACTAAGGCTTGTGTAAATGCAGAAAAGAAAAGGAAATGTTAAAAAAATTATCATAGCCAATGGATGTAAGATAGAGAAGAAAAAACGAGGAATGATACGAAGCTACGCGAAGAAGAACTGCCGATACCGCGAAAGTGCATCGTGCCCTTTTATAATAAGCCCTTCTCGCTTCAATGCTTTATTCGTCCTCAACGTCATTCTCTCTAGGAAAATTACAATCCTTTTTTTTCAGGGCATACGAACGCCTGCACACACGTGCATCACCGACAGGTTGTATACGTATATGTATAGTAGCCGCGGGGTCTACAAATCAAATAAAACTCACTCGCGATGTCTCCCCCCTCCCCCTCCCCCCGACCACCCTCCCTCCCTCCCTCCGTTCAAACCCGATGTATACACATGCGGCTACGAGTGAATCGCGTATAAGAAGCGAGTGAGAATGAAAGGGAGGAAACAGAAGAGAGAGAGAGAGAGAGAGAGAGAGAGAGAGAGAGAGAGAGAGAGAGAGAGAGAGAGAGAGAGAGGGAGAGGTTGCCGTTCGGGTGGAAGAAGAAGAAATAGGAAGAAGGTGCCGCATCAGCGGCTACGGCTGCTATAGCGGCAACGAAGATCGAGACCCCGCTATGCCCGTACTCAAGAAGCTACTGACTCTACTACTTTGGTTGTAAGGACTTACACATACGTCAGTATGCGCGTGTGGGAATACGTGGGGAGTTCCGCGCCGAGCGCTTTAATTAGAGGAAGGGGGCCGATTATTATCGCGGGCTCATAAAGGAGCGACATCGATGCCTGGAACTGGGGACAACGCTCGGGACTCGAGCTCGTCACTTCGATGCGATTAAACGTCGGTCACATCATCGTCGCTTCTAATAATCCAGATATTCAATTTTACTCTGAAATTAATTATTGTTGCAGTTGCTCTCAGGTATGGTCCTATTAACATTACCGAGCCACAAGACCCTTATTCCCAACACTTTATTATGGCAAATTATAATTTCTCAAGATTATGCCAGCCGCTGTGATAATAGTGCTCGCAGCCAAGTCCTTAATTTCTCAAATTGAAATCTCCTTACTGGCTCGTGCATTAATTTTGTTCGTTCATTCGACGTTTTATCCAAGGCTCCAACCACATAGGCATAGTGTCTTAACAAAAACAAAAGAAATAATAAAAACAAAAAATACGATTGCGTGCAAAATTCAGCCGCGACATTCGTCCTCAATGGACAATAATAACAAGACGCACATCCGACGATGTATTGCATGTAATATAGAACCACTCGATGAAAACTCCAAGAGCTATGCATTGCAATGCCGATTATCGAACTTCTTCAACCAACTCGGTATCTCGTATTGATCCGAATTTCGATGCACGAATGCCAATTCAATAATTAAAATTATCAGTGTCTGTTGTTGAAGAAGAGAGAGAGAGAGAGAGAGAGAGCAATGCAGTGAATTCGTATTTGTTAAAAAAAAAAAAAAAAAAAAAAAAAAAAATCTATCACGACATTACAAGACCCGATGGAAGTAGCGGGGTGAAATAGCGTTGAATTAGCGTTGAATTAGCGTTGAATTAGCATTGAATTAGAGCTGATAAGAAGGAGGCTCGTAATGGCTTTTATTGAAGGAGGAATGACGTTGGCGCTCCTCTAGCGTTTCCCATTCGAAGCGAGCAGACTCACAATGTTGCTCACTCGCCGAACGTAGATCCACGGCTAATGGATAAACAAGAGCCGGCTCCGAACGCCCAATGGCCATTAAATCATTATGAAATGACATTCGCGCGAGCGACGGCGCGGACAGCCAGTGCCATTGGCCGCCTGACGATCGATCGTCCGCACTCGCCGCGGAAGCATCCATATAAGCTGCTGCACGCAATATACATCGATACAGGCGCCTCTCGCAGGAGCGACTCAGCTCACGGGCATCGGAAAGCGAGCGAGCGAGAGAGAGAGGGAGGAAGCCGAGGTGGCGGCGATGTGGCGGCGGAAGGTGAGCCCGCGGGAGGAGAGCGAGAGGGAGACAGGTAGAGAGATCGGTACATAGAGCGCGCGAGAGGAGAGACAGCAGCGAAACGGAGAAGGAAGGAGCGGCGAGGAGCGGCAGGCCGCGAACAGTCTCGTCGACGACGACGTCGTGTCCGGCTCCACTTAGTTCGCGCGCGCCGAGGCGCGCCCGCGCCCACTTCCTCTTCCCCCTCGGTCAGCTCCCGTCGCCGCTTCACGCCTCGATGTTGTCGCGAGTGCGCGCCAACGCGGGCTGACGAGGCCCTGCGGACGTCCTTATCTTAGGCTCTGTGCCCCGCTGGCCGCGGAGCCTCGAGCGCCGCGTTTCTAGGTCGGCTCCTGTTGATATGACTGGCGGAGCCGTGCGGCTGCCATCCGCGGGAGATCGGTAAAGACGGGCGGCGGCGGTACTGCTACTGCCGTAGCTGCTGCTGCTGTTGCTGCTGTTACTGCTGTTACTGCTGTTGCTGCTTCTGAATCCGAACGACCCAGGTCACCCAGGCGTTCTCCACCCTTTTTTACCTCCACGCATTTTTCACGTAAGCCCTAATCGATACTTTGCGGCGCTCTGCAACGCTGCGTAATGCACGAGCGCGGGTAGCAGTGGTACCGATGGGACATGGACTTTTTGTTAATCGGCCATTGGAATGCCCTTTGGTACTTATAAGCTTTCAATTCACTCATTCGGGCACCACTGCGCTTTTTATCTTTTTAACGATCATTTAGAATCTCGGGCTCGCGATACGTAGATATCGGCAAATACGAATCCTGCGCGACCGATTTTTACGCATTCCTCTGACTTTTTTAATTCAGCAACCACATATGCACACCTCCGATGTGCTTCGTTCCTCTCTCTCTCTCTCTCTCTCTCTCTCTCTGTTTCTCCCCCTCTCTCCCGATCTCTCACTGACGCGGCTTTCTTAGCGGCATCTTGCAGCCCGTGACAAGATAATTTAATTATGTGCAAGGAGTACATTTACATTTGAAGAATTCACAAGTACATATACGATATTGCAGTATAGTTAGGAAGGTTTTTGCACATAATAGTCTGTTAATTTAAGACTTTTAACTCATTGCACACTCAAATTTTCATCAATAACGTACTTTCATAATAAGGTCATTTTCTTCTTATGATTAAGTTACACGCTAATAAACAGACACACTAACTCACAAGCGCCAATATATATGATAATGTTGTTTGCGATTGTTAAAAAGAAACAGCAATAACAAAGAAATTTGTATTTTTCTTGCTATTTTAATTCTTTGTTTTCTTCTTTCTTTTTTTGTTTTATGTTTTTTGTTTTGTTTGTTTTGTTTGTTTTGTTTGTTTTGTTTGTTTTGTTTGTTTTGTTTGTTTTGAATATTTATACTCAAATAAGTCGCTCGTCTTTATTCATGCTTTTATTAAACATAACATAAGTTGAAAATGCTTATTATAATTTTTTTTTCTTTTAAATCGAGCTTATTATTCGAATTATGTGATCTCAAATAAGTATATATATGTGCATTTCAAATAAGTATATAATTTTTTTTTTTCTACGATTCGCTATCTTTATCCAAAATATTGAATTCGCTACAAGGCTTCAAATTATCATCATCTTCATTTCAGAAATTCATAAATAGATTATTTGACCCTAGAATATAATATAAGAATAATTCGACAAATAGAAAATCAAAATAAAATTAATAAAATTCTTACGTACAAAAGATAAGAAAACAACGTAGAATATACATAAGCGATAGAAACTACCATGGCAAATATATATGTATATACGTCTAAAAATATGAAATATCGTAAGCGGATTTCACTACTGTCAATTAAACGTATTACAGTAAATTATTAACGAATATACAAGTAATTATAATCGTAGTCAGAGAGTGATATTGAGAGAAAAAAAAACGGCAAAGGAAAAATATTAAAATTATCGATCATAAAATATCATTATGAATTATAGGACGGTAAATGCAAAGTCGCTAATAAATAAACGCAAAAACCAAACAAAAAAACAAACAGACAAAAAAGAAAAAGAAGAAGACAAAGAAAATCATTATAATCGCAGTTTGAAAATAAGGTCGTAATTTGTAAAAGGAAAGGGACAAAACGAACGAAGAAATTATCATTAAAGTTTAGAAGTTAAAGTTAACATGAAAATGTCGACGATGAGCAAAAGGTACACATAAAGTAAAATCCAAAGAATGTGGCCGTTCCAATTATAGCTATGACATAATTTTCTATCACATTAGCACAAAGTTTGATCTTCAAAGCACGGGGAAAAAAAAATGTATATTCATAAAATTCATGAGAGCGTTCGAATTTCCATACTTGGCCCAACGAGCCGCACTCGTACATTCCGGAAATTATAATTCGTCCCTTATTAAGAAATTGCACTTATCTTTCTTCTTATGAGGGACGGAGAAATGTTTTGCAGCAACGGTATTATTGCCTTTGCCTTCGAACGTCTTCAAGCGTTTCGCCACGCTAGAACAATGAATTCCACGAGAACTATTAACGTCACCAAAGGCTTGGGAGCACATTGCTCAACATCCGAGACACAAGCAACACGGTTCTCCTCGCGCCTGCGGAACGCGCAGCTAAAATTTATTAAAATAGCGACCAGTCTCGCATCGGACTCGACAATCCTCCAAGCACTCTCCTTCATTCAATATCCAGCTATTGCGCGAAGAACCAGTTGCCACGCTCCCGTGCGCCCATCAATCGGCAGGTTTCCTTTTCCTTTTTCTCCACTCTTAGAGAGTGATCGAATCACTGTCTCTCCTCTCCCATCTATCCCCCCCCCCCCCCCCCCCCCCCCCACCCCGCCCCGCCCCGCCTCCCCATCCAACACCCACCGCCCACCCTACGACCCCATCACTCTCTCACACGCTCTCTCGCTTACTCTCTCGCTTACTCTCTCGCTTACTCTCTCGCTTACTCTCTCTCTCTCTCTCTCTGTCTGTCTGTCTCTCTCTGTCTGTCTTTTAAATATATTTTTTAATACGCATATTGATTTATTATAGATTTTTATGGACAAATATCGTATAATGCGAGTATTGATTAATAGTTATTTGAACAAAAATCTTCATAATGTATATAAAAGCTTGGTAGATTGTGATTGATCTCTGTTTGGAACAAGACTTACGCGATCGCACTTCATCGAGGCAATCGAGTCTCTTGCGCCTTATCTCTCCCGTTGCGCTGTGGAGGGGGAGGTGAGAATGTACTCATACGCATAGTGCCTCTACGCACGCGCTTAATGGTGGTTTTAGATAGGAGGGCGGCGCGGGCAAGCGAGAGAAATATTTTATACGGTCAGGGAAAGGAGCGAGTTAAAAGGTACAAATGTGCTCGCGGTTTACGAGTAGACGAGCAGTAGATCGCTCGGAACGAACCCACGGCTTTAAATAATTTTCAAGTTGATCCACCTACAGAGGAGGCTGAACTTCCAGGAAAAAGTGCACTGTAACTGTGCATCGATAATCTTATTGTTCACCTATCTATCATATCTCATCAACATTATCATTATCGCTATTCTCCTTTCCCTTCTCCTTCTCCTTCTTCCCCTCCTCATCCTTCTCCTGATCATCGTCGTCATCGTCATCATCAACAATATTCATTGATTTCCAATGATGTATATAACTCATATGGACTAAATAATTCATACGCGCAGTCAACTAATAGTTTGCGAATCTATTTTGTTTTCAATTTTATTTGAAATTTATATAGAACAAATTGAAAGTGCTTGTGAAATGCTTGAAAAGATATTGCGTATAACAACTAATTACTCAGCGATTAAATATTTCATTTTGAAATTACCAATAGCAATTTTATAATTATTCTTATTTCGTTCCTTAAAAACTTATGCGTAAAATTTGGCTTTTAAATTTATTTTTAACATAATGATTATTCATCTTTAGAATTCCAATATTAAAATAGAAATATTTTAGTAATACTCTGGGATACATATTCTTGCTTATTGACTTCACATTCGTACATATATTTAGTAAAATTTCATGTCCTTTTCCAATATTTCATGCATAATTGTAGCAACAAATGTTAAAACTATTTCATTAAGTATTCAATTATTTTCATAATTAATTGTGGATTAGAAATTTTCGATATTTTTTTAAGGAACGAAATAAGAATAATAATAAAATTGCTTTTGGTAATTTGAATGAAAATTTTCATTTACATTTAAAATATGCTTGAATGAGCAATCGTTAACCTTATGTAGTTAAAAAAAAAAAAAAAAAAAAAAAAAAAAAAATTAATGTAAAAAGTCAGATATAATAATTTATAATACAATAACAGAATATGTTTTTTTTTCTTTTTATATATATACTATTTTCCTGTTAATTGTTTCATTTAAGAGGCTAGAACTTATATATATATACATATATATATATATATATATATATATATATATATATATATATGCATTAACTGGCAAATGTTGAATTATTATAAAAAAAAGAAAAAGAAGAAGAAAAAAAGATTAAACGACATAGTATTTAAAACAATATCAGAAAAAATCGAGACGATAAAAAAAACAGATAAAAAATAAAAAATATAAGGGAATTATGTAATTATGAAATAAAATCTTATACTTCATCTGACATAGTGAATGTGACTAAATTATACTTATTAAGATGAGTAGGGTACATATTTAGAAAGGGAATGAAAGAGCAGCATATTGGACACTCGGAATGAAAATCGGAAAGTAAACCTTAAGTAGATCTTAAATTAGATTAAGATAAAGATAGAAAGAGAATATTTAATTGGTTGCATAAAAGTAGGGTATAATGAAGAATTCTCGATTTGTACAGTTGAGAATATAAAAAGAAAATTATTACTTTTCAATTATCTGTATTATAGAATATAATATAGAAATCTTCTAAATAAATATATGGCTAAATATTGTTGATCGCAACTTGTAGTTAATAATAAAAAAAAAAAGGAATATCAAGTAAAAAAGAAGAAGAAGAAGAAGAAGAATAGTGGCAATACTAATAATAAAAATGATTAAAATCATAATACTTTGATCTTTTTCTGATTATAAATGCACCTTTTAAATATCCTTGCAATTGAGGTCAATAGACTATTAACATAATTTACATGTAACATCACGAAAATAAATTATAGCTCCTTTTATTGGTTTTACATACATGTGTTCTTTGAGATACATGAAAATAAAAATATAGCACCAATTATTTTCGTATTAAATTAAAAGAAGAAGAAAAAAAGTTTGTAATACAATAAATTACTAGTTATAATAATAAATTTAAATACGATTTAAATACGAAAAAAAAAGAATCGATAAATAAATAAAGAATAAATTCATTGGAATACATTGATTGCAAAGCAATATATATATATATATATATACATTAATTTATTTAGTTATTTAAAAAAAAAGAAAAAAAAAAAAAACGGATAAATTAATATTTTTTGTAAATTCTGATTTAATTCAGAAGATTGAAATTAATATTGTAATGGAATATCTAATAACGTCTCTTATTATTCGAATTCTGTCGTTATAAAAACATATAAAACATATTATTGAGATATCCTAATTATTACAGATTAACAATATTTTTAAAAATAATAATATCGACTCGTATTAATCGTCTTCTTATATCACTTGCATTTTTAAAAGCATATTTATTACATTCTGGATGATTTATTTTAATGAATTTATTAGAATGAAAATAAAAAATTCAGATTAACAGACAGTTTACTTTGATTTTTATGGATTATTAATCGAGAACATTCACAATTATACTTACAAATATGGAATATGTAAATTAAAATATTGCGCATAAATGAGACATGGGGATTTTACGATTATAGCCATGTAGTATCGAATATGGCACGTGAGACCTATATTAAGCAAAGCTTACCACCTTACCAAGGACTGCGCAATATAGGACTAATAACTTCTCATTTAAGTAGACGACATGTGAGCATGTGATATGATGTGTGACAAATTCTTGTCTAATCAGAGCATGAAACGAGGGGCCGAATTATTGTTTACGTCATCATGATTTATTGCCTACGATATTTCAAAATTTTACTATTCTTATGTTAATAAAGTATGTTTTACTGGCTTACTTTAATGCTGACATCGGTTAATAATATTAAAATGTCGGTAAGATGCATTGGTTGACGACGACGAATCGATGCGATTAATTCGTGGAATAGAGTGTATAAGTCATAAAGTATTTTTTTACGCTTTCTAATAGAAATACTTAAAACATTTCAAATATATGCTGTGAGCTTATTTATTAACTCTTAATATAAAATAAGGATAAATGAATCTCGTATAAATATTAATAATTACTAAATATCATGAGAAATATAATCTGTATATTTCTGGTAGAAATGTTGTCATTTTACAATACCCATTTACCTATATTGTCGATTGTCTATTGTCTATTAAACTATCTCGTTTAACATTATTTGCTATTGTAAATAATGTCGATTGTCATGAAAAATTATCTTTCAATATTGAAAGTAATAGTTGTCTTTATAAAATTTAATAAATAATTTTACATAATATAAAAGCAATTAATAATTTCCTCGTTTATAGAAACATTTTTTTTCTCTACGCAATTCTCACTGTTTCTTCTTCTTCTTCTTCTTCTTCTTCATCTTCTTCTTCTTCTCTAATATGATTATTCATATTTATAATACAAATACAAATTAAATCGAATATCTGTATTTCGTATGAGAATACATATTTTCTTAATTGCTGTTGTTTAAATATATTAGTTACACGTTAACTTGCAAAAATCTACGACTAATAGTTATACAATTGTATTAATGTAATAATAGAGGTTGTATAATTATATATAAAATTATATGGTACACCTTAATAGCATATTATTATTATTATTATTATTGGGAGAATAAATCGATGATAAGGAAGTCAATTTTTTTCAATTTAATATCTCGTCATATCCATACAATATTTCTTACATATAACATAATTTAACATTTTATTTATTCTAATGAATAAATTTGTTGTAATAAACACAATACATTGATGTATAATTAAATAAACATATAAAGACAAACATTAATGTGCACATATTTTCTATATGAATTGTAAATATTTATTTTTTTAAAGTTTTAAAGTAATTATACGTTATTGAAGAGAAGGTACAGAGCTACTAATATACTCGAGGACCTTACTTTCAATATATCACAAAACTATGAAGGATTCATTCATTCTTTCATTTGTTTTTTTGTTTTGTTTGTTTGTTTGTTTGTTTGTTTTTTTTTTTTGTTTTTTTGTTTTTTTTTTGTTTTGTTTAACTAACTGCATAATTTCATATAGAGAGGGTAGTATATTATTTTGCACCACAACGCCATAATATACCAAAAATGATATACATCCTACTATAAATCTTCATATATCTTTTTTGAAAGAAAAGAAAATGTAAAGGATCAATAAAAAACATAAAAAAAAAAACATAAAAAATAAAAAAACAGAAAAAAATTAAAAAAAAAAAAATTAAAAAAAGAAACGTATCTACGTGTATACGCAATAAAACGACACTGAAAAAAACACGAAAGAATGAGAGAAAGGGCGAAGAGGAGACAAGAGAGGGAGAGAGTGAGACAAGGATGAGGTTGGAAAGAAAAAATAGTCTGTTCGGCGCCACTTAATAGCTATCACGTTTTTTCGCCTTCTCCTCCTCCTCCTCCTACTCCTCCTCCTCCTCCTCCTCCTCCTCCTCCTTTTTTCATTATTATACATCCAGTCAAGAGCGGCTATATATCGCGCGGGTGTGTGCTGAAGTTGCAGAGCAAATGTGCCTTTTGGGGAGGTTCGGGACCATGAGGAAATTTATATCTTTTGTTTTAAGTGGAAGGCCAAAAAGGAAACATGGGGCTACTCGGTAATTTCGGCACGTCTCTGACGCTCCTGTTGGCGCACTTGAGCCTCTTTCGAGCTCATCGAGAACACAAGGTTTGTATATGTTTTGACCGTTATATTTTTTTACTTCTCATTTCATCGAACTTTGCTCTTTTTAGTCGAACGATTTGTAAGGACATTTTTGCGAGCTGATATTTGTATGAAAGCCTTTCGACGTTATAAATAAAAAAAAAAAATGTTACCGTTATCAAGTGTTTTTGTATGGTTACAAAACAAGCAAAAAATCCAAAATTGCTTTATGCTTCTTTTTTCTATACGATATAACAGTAATTTTTAATCGAATTTTATGAAACGTTTTGCGTTTTTCATTTTTTTTTTTTTTTTTTTTTGCTGTATATATATACTCAGAATGCTTATGATGTACTCGAATGATAATAAACGTAATTTTGTTGGTAATAATGTAAATCATTAAATGATATTCAATTATCGTTTTGTACAATATATATTGCATTTACGTATGTTCTTTTGCGTGAAATTGTTCAGTACAATAATCGATTATTATTGAAAATCTCTTTCATAATCTATGCTTTTCTATATATAGCATGCTACCCTATACCCTGTCTAATTTTCTAAATTTGTTTAATAATAATTAAATTATATGATCGTGTAACAGTCTCTAATAGTTGTGATAGTATCGCTAAACCAGTTATTTTTGCTGTCACATTTAGTACTTGCTTTCTCTCTCTCTCTCTCTCTCTCTCTCTCTCTCCCTCTCACACACACACACACACACACACACACACACACACACACACACACGCACACACAGAAACTCTCTCTGACTTCTTTGCTTGATTTTGCTTTCCCTTTCTTTTTCTCCTTTCCTCTATTTCATTTTCTTTCTTTCTCTATATCTCAATAACTCTCACTCTCTATCTAACCCTTCAGCTTGGTCGTTCGCATTAATTATTCCTACGGCATTTATAAAATAATACTTTACAGCACCAATACAATTATTTACAATAAAAATTTGCATTATAACATAGTCTTGTTTTAATTTCATTACTTTTAACATTACTTTTTTCTTTTCTTTTTTCATTTAAAAGTTCGATAAATTTAATACACAATTGTTTTTTCCATTATTTGCCTAATAAATACTGTAAACGTATCAAATTAACGTAATTTAATACGCTGCGCTTAAAATTCATTATATTGCATTTCAATATTTACGTCTTTCAAAATAGAACGTTGGAGATTTTTATTACCTAGAGAACTATATCGACAATGACGAGAATCATTAAATTAATTAATAATAAATATTTTACAATTCAAAAATGGACGCGACTCTTTCCTTTCGTTCTTTCATTCTTTCTTTTTTTTTGTTTTTTTTTTTTGTTTTTTTTTTTTTTTGTTTTTTTGTTTTGTTTTGTTATTTGTATGAAACATAAGTAAAGCAATATCTCGTAAAATATGTAAAATTTGATTTTATACGCTACATTCTCCTTAGGCGACATTATGCACATACGCGTCCTTTATTTCGTATGCCTTTTATATAAATATTCCAGGCAAATATTAAGAGAGACAAATTAAAAATACTTTGAGAATGCAGTGGGCTAAGGGATGGGTAATCCAGGCAACGAAATCTTGGTCACTCAATTTTTACTCACTAAATGTATTTCAGGTGCACAACATCGTGCTGTATCCAGACAAAGAGAGTTGGTGCAAAACAACACCGATCAAGCAGGTCGTCACCTGGCCCCAGTGCTCGTCCCAGGAACTCGACAACAATGTCTGCGTCGGCGCCTGCTTCTCTTACATGGTGCCACACAGCGAACCATCGGCACCCGGTGACCTCATCAGGCCGTATTGCGACTCCTGTCAGCCACTCGATAGCATTTGGCATACGGTAGCGTGCTATCTTTCTCATTTCAAATTATCGCGAATAACGTATGCTGCTGGGATTGTTTAGTTCGTTATTTGCCAATTAAGATTTATAATTGATTGCTGCCACGTTTGAAAAATTGCCAAAGCTTGCTGCACGAATTCCAAGCACGCAACCGTCTTCGATAAGGTTCATTTGTTAATTTTGCAAATCTAATGCGCCGTGTCGCGAATCGCGAATACAGAATTCAGTTTCAGAAAATTGTTGTTTCAATTGTTATAATCGATGCATTGTCGAGTAGCTCAACACGCACCTAACTCAAAATGAAAATTATTCTTATTTCGTTTATAACAAGTGATTGTAATTGTAAATTGTTGAAACATTTTTTCAATTCTGTAAAAACTCTTTAAATACTTTCTCTCGATATCGTTTATTTTCTCTGTTTTGTCTTAAATTTTTTGCAGCAATTGAATTTTATGTGATTCAATAATTATCATACGAGTCTACTCTTATCCACTCTTAATTACGCATAATTCTATCTTTCATACATTCTAGAATTTAGAATTCTTAATATTTATCCGACACCTTGTTTTATTAATTAATATTATTATCTCAGTTTAAAAATATGTTATTACACCATCGACCGTGTTTTGCGATGCTTCTTCTTTAACGAGTATAACATATTGATGTGCGTCGAAACGTAAACACATAACGTTGAATGGAGAAAAAAATGCATGATTATTTACTAAACAATAATCATGAACTAAGGAGATAAGCGAATAAAAAATATATCTACGATGAATCACGATTTCATGTTACATAAAGATTTAATGCAGGCAAAAATTGGCCGAGATTAAAGTAATATAAGCTGTAATGCTGTAGCTCGTAGGCTTATATCATCAAACCAGTCTGCTTTTTCAACATCGATAGTCGTATGACACATTCTCGGCTCTTAGCAAAGAGTTCCCTGTTTATTAGTTCAATGTTAAGTAACAATTCGTAAAATAATTATTCCTTCGTATACAATAACCATTTCAAATATTAAGTTTACATGAGCGAGCTTCTGCTTAGTTGTTTATACATGACTATCTACAGCAGACAGCAGATTGTCATTTGATAAGAATATTTCTTACCCTTAATTGAAGATTTTTTTTTTTTTTTAATGATTATCATAGACATTAAAATAATTGTTATGAGAAATACATCTTTATTTTATTTGATAAATTCGTTTTCATAGAAGTATTATAATTTTTAACCGTTTGTTTTATGTTTGAAAGACAATTATTCATGCAGATCAGAGTATGACGCACAAGTAAATTAATC